AGAGACAGCCAGGAGAGAGAGGAGAGACAGCCAGGAGAAAGAGACAAGAGGGAGAGGAGTGAGAGAGAGAGGAGAGACAGCCAAGGGAGAGAGAGAGGAGAGACAGTCAGGAGAGAGAGATAGAGAGAGACAGCCAAAGGAGAGAGTGAGGAGAGACAAACAGGGGAGAGAGTGAGGAGAGACAGCCAGGAGAGAGAGAGATAGCGAGCGAGAGGGGAGAGACAGCCAGGGGAGAGAGTGAGGAGAGAGAGAGAGAGGAGAGACAGCCAGGAGAGAGAGTGAGGGGAGAGACAGCCAGGAGAGAGAGAGAGGGGAGAGAGACAGCCAGGGGAGAGAGTGGGGAGAGAAAGCCAGGGGAGAGAAATGTGAAATAAATGACAGATCCTTCTGATATCTTCCCAGTGATGGAGGTGGTTTGTGTCAGATTGGTGTAAGAGATAAAATGTGCTGATTTCAGCTCCGTATGAAGCCAATGCTCGCTCACCGCGCTATGTATCTGATGTGTTCTGATTTTGCATGAAAATATATGGGCTTAATTCACACTTTCCTGATTCCTCTTTACTGTGTCAGAAAGACGATATTCGAGATTTCTCAAAATGTATAATCAAATGTTTATCTAATATTTATTTATTTTAGATTAATAACTAAAAGAGATTAATGTATTTAACTATTTATTTTATTACAGGTATTTATATAGCACCTGAAATTCAGACATCTGGACACATCCGAATTTCTGAATCCCTATGCATCCGAATGTGTCCGAATCCAAATTTCTGTTTTCGAATTTCGAATTCCATTCAAAAACAAAGCTGAATCGGACATGTGACTTTTCTGGCCAATCAGATGTGTTTTTTGGTTTAATGCATCCGAATAGGTCTGAACACAAATTTTCGTTATGAAAACATGGGAGCCGTATACAGTATATACATATCATACTAAAGCTGAGGCTCCCAGACCCGAATGCCATTTGGGAAGGGATCCGAATTTCCGAATTGCATTTGGGAGCTCCTGAATGTTATTGGGGTCTGGGAGCCTCAGCTTTAGTAATATTTGTATATGGCTCCCAGACCCGAATGGCATTCGGGATCTCCCCAATGCCATTCGGAAATTCAGATCCCGAGCCCCATTCGGGTCTAGGAGATTCAGCTTTAGCATTAATATCTGTATACGGTTCTCTGTGGTATTCGCAACGAATATTCGTCAACTCATCCGAAACTAACGAAAGTCCGGATTTCGTCCGAAACCCGAACCGAATTGAATTTCAGATCTGAATCCCAAAACAACGAAATATCCGAACCGCACCAAATGTTTCCGCAGCTTACATGTCAACCTTCTAGCATGTCTTTGGAGTGTGAGAGCAAACCGCAGTACCTGGAGGAAACCCAGGCAAGCGCAAGAAGAACATGCAAACTCCATGCAGATAGTGTCCCTTTGTTTTCAATAGATGAACATCTGTGTCTTTTGCATATAAAAGGTGTTAGGGTACATTGATCAGGGTTATTCACAAAAGGGTGAAGAGTTTGGAGAAGGCCGGAGAAGTGAACAATCTAGAACAGGGGGGCCAATTAGGTTCTTCAAGTTCCCCCTTATGCCACCACCGGCCCTGGGAATGGTCACAACTAGGTCTTATTATCGGGGTAGGTAGCAATTCCCAAAAATAGTACTAGGTCTTACTTTCGGGGTAGGTCTTGTTTTCAGGGAAACAGGGTATTAGCCCGAGTCTGTTGAGCCGAGCTCCCTGATACCTTTCTGCTGGATACTGGTGGTTGAAGTGCTATGTATTACATCAAAGAATATTAGTTTACACAGCAAAATACAGCAAGGTGACCCAGGAGAGAGAGCGGGGAGAGACAGCCAGGAGAGAGCAAGGAGAGACAGCCAGGAGAGAGAGAGCCAGGAGAGAGAGCAATGAGAGCCAGGAGAGACAGCCAGGAGAGAGAGCAAGGAGAGCGAGGAGAGACAGCCAGGAGAGAGAGCAAGGAGAGCGAGGAGAGACAGCCAGGAGAGACAGCCAGGAGAGAGAGAGCGAGGGAGGTTTTTTTTTCGTTGGTAGATCTCAGGTAGCTCGTCATTTGAAAAGTAGATCTTAACACAAAAAAGCATGGGCACCCCTGATCTAGAACAACATAGTTGACCTGGAAAGTGAGCTGAATTGGAGAAGTTTTCCAAATCAGCTTTTTTGGCCTAGATTGTTCTCTTCTCCTGCCTTCTCCAAACTCTTCACCCTTTTGTAAATAACCCTTATACAATGAAGGACCTCCATCCTGGTGTGACTTGTGAGCAGCCGGAATGAATAGAAATCAGCGACATATAAAATCCTGATAATCCTCATCCAGTGCCATGGCAGGTACCACGAGGAACGGAGCCTTATCAAACTATATTTCTCTGTCTTTCAGGCTGCCCAGGAATGTGGGATAACATAACATGCTGGATGCCAGCTGTGGTCGGCAAAGTGGCCTACATGCGCTGCCCGGCGTGGTTCAGCATGATCGACTCCGAAGACGGTAAGATACGTTTTCCTGCTGACCGCATAAGAAAAACCTGTTCTATCAATGTAATCTATATCACGTAGCATAAGAAAACAGCGCTCTGATATCTCTATAAGTACGATGAATACAAATTATATTATTCAGCTAAACCTATATAAATAAATGACTTCCTCTTATCACACTCTATAAAATATAAAACATAGGAAGAGAGTCTCTATGTGAAGCACAGTCCTTCTTTATGAACCAATTCTATACAATGTATCCACCGCCAATGTATTTCAAATGTGTACTGGAGCCACAATCTTCTATAGGGCATCACTCCCGTGCAGTGGCGTAACAATCACCATAGCGACACAGGCGGCCGCTATGGGGCCCGGCCAGGACATCCCCCTGATGCCATGCGGGCCGCCTGGGTGGCTATGGCATCTCAGGCTGCTGGCTGTCACTGGCGTGTGTGAGGAGGAACATGTCGCTGTTAGATCATCGACAACCTGTCAGTGATCTGTGCAGCGGCGCATTCCTCCTCACATCCGCTGCTGAGTCAGTGACAGCCAGCAGCTGTGGAGGAGGAAGGCTGGGCCCGGCGTCAGAAGTGGAGGAGGAAAGCCCGGCGACGGAAGAGGAGACGGGGCCCGGCGACGGAAGAGGAGGCGGGACCTGCCAGCGACCATGGAGGCGGACAGCGGATCGGGGCTGACAGGTAAGAGGTGTGCAGCCCACCTGAGACCCCGCAGAGCCCACCATAGAGAGTCTATGATGGGCTCTGTAGGGTTTCTCTCAGAGGGGCTGTGTGGGATCTCAGGTGGGCTCTGCAGGGACATGACTAGAAATCACAGGACCCCATACAAAATTTTGCTTTGGGGCCCTGTGATTTCTAGTTACACCCCTGCTCCCATGTGTTCATTCCACCACCTGGATAACTAACTCACCAGAAGAGTTGGACCCCTTAGAATAAGAGGGTCAAAAACACCTTTAGCCCTCATTCACACTAGAAACGGCCGTACAGCTCCGTGCTGCGTGCAGGGCAGTATCGGGCAGCTCCCGGGAAGGACAGGTGCTGCGTGTAATTAGTACGCAGCCCCCGTCCTTCTCTATGGGACTATGCGGCTGTACGCCCCCCTACGCTCACCTCAAGTGCAGGTCCGTGCGGGTGTGTGTTTCCTGGCTTGGACGCTGACAGGATCCATCCTGTCAGCATACGAGTACACTCACCCGCACCTCTACTGACGTGCAGGGCGGGTGAGCGCAGGGCGGCGTATGGCCGCGTAGTCCCATAGAAAAGGACGGGGGCTGCGTACTAATCACACGCAGCACCTGTCCTTCCCGGGAGCTGAGCGATACGGCCGCGCGCGCAGCATGTGTCGGCCGTTTCTAGTGTGAATGAGGGCTTAAAATGGAACTCCAGGACTTTTACCAACCCTTGCAGTGGGGAATTGAGAAAGCCAGCCGGATGACCAGCAAAACGTCTTCAAGAAAAAAAAAATACAGCAAGTCCAGCTGCCTGTGCGGACGTACAATAATGACACTACCTGCACCAGTATGTATTGTCTGCGATAATCCCCGATACTGTGTAGCTTTTGTGTTGCTATGGATACATTGCAGATCCTGTTTCCATAGTTCTTACTGCTTGGATAATTAGGATGATATGATCATTAATTGGCGGGTGTGTTATTTGTCCCCAGTAGAGAAAGAAAAGAGAAAGAGACAGAAGGACACGAAAGGGGAGAGAGAGGTGGAGAGACAGCAGGAGAGAAAGATAAGGATAGAGAAAGAGAGAGAGACAATGTTTTCTACCTTTTCTTGTCTTTGCTGGAAATAAAATGATATCATTAATATGAATTAATTAGTTCAGCTGTCACCTCCAGTGCACATATACAGTACATTAATATATATTTAGTTATTTGTTACCTTTTTAGAAAAAAAATTAGCATAAACATAAAAATATACTTTTTTCTACTTTGATCAGTGTTTGCTAAAAAGAAAAAAAAATAGTATTACTATAGATTTACAAAAAAATGTTCTATCATTTGTCCCATTTAAAATTATGATTCCAGTACAGAGTACTGCAAAGGTGCATTACTCCCAGTTGATGGAGCCAAGGAGTGTAGGAATTTGCTACCTGCTGTGTACATGATGGGAAGCGGAATCTTCCCAATGGGGCGCAGATGACAAAAAAAGAGTTTAAAGTTTTGATGTTTATACTTTATTATTATAGGTATTTATAGAGCGCCGACAATTTACGCAGCGCGTTACTTACTGCACATTCACATCAGTCCCTGCTCTCAAGGAGCTTTCAATCTAAGGTCCTTATTGCATATACAGTACATAGAGGGCCAATTTAGACAGGAGCCAACTAACCTTCCAGCATGTCTTTGGAGGGTGGGAGGAAACCGGAGTACTCGGAGGAAACCCACGCAAGCCCACTTGACTGATGGATTCGTCAATTTCTTCCCCCTGTTAAAAACCCGAATAAACACATAGACTGTGCGAAATTGATTTTAATGGCCACAGCAGCCCTTTTATTAAACAAACCAACTTTAACAATAAACCAAATAATATACAAATAAATACTCTTAAAGTCTGTTGGATCTGAGAAGGGGTCTTTTGGTGCCCAACAGCCCAAATAAGGCCTCTCCTAAAACTCCCATGTCCCCAGCCGCACCCCAACTAGCTCAAGGACATTTAGTGCTCCCAAGTTCCAAGGGGGCCAAGACCCCCCTACAAATACGGACACCAACATGGGGAAGCACCCATACCAGCTGATGCCCCCCCCCATTTGTGTAATTGACTCCAATTTTCAGACCCCCAAAAGACCCCCTAACCCGCCAAGCTGCTGTGACATAAAAAGAACCCTGCAACCATCAGAAAACCACAACATTCAGGGAGGGAGGGAGGGTGGCACAACCTGCTTCCTCCGTCGATTTTCCAGAAAGAACGCCCCTTAGCCCTTGCAGTTCCTACCCATGCGGCTCCATCCGGACACCTGACCCCAACATCCAATCAGGTAAGAACAGCTATTCCCATCTTATTTTTAACCCCTTCTCCTGGGACTATTCCTCCTCCAGTCATGTAGCCCCTCCGTTTAGTCTCTCTGCATCTGTCTTTAATTATTAGCAGCAGAACAAAAGTGTCTGCTGTTGGCCATCATCAGTGCAATGTATGGAAACCATGGCG